CACTCCACGGCATGTGGGATCTTCCCAGACCGGGGCACGAACCCATGTCCCCTGCATCGGCAGGCGGACTCTCAACCACTGCGCCACCAGGGAAGCCCTATATTGTCTATCTTTATATTTGCTTTTTGGGGAGAAGATTTTCTAGCCTCCTCATTCAGTCATGGCTGAAAGTCCTAACTCCCATTTCATTCTGTTTTTAATGGGGGGAAAAAATCTAGTTTTCAAACCAAAATCCTAACTATTATACCTATACGTATATCACTCTCTTAGTTGTAAAGGGTGGAAGCCCCTAAAGCAGCAAGGAAACTGAGAATCCTAGATGTCTGGGAGTCTAAGGGAAAAGGCACAAGCTGATCCCGTACATTAGCACAGACCAAATAACATGACAAAGAGGGAGAAGGGCTCAATGTGAACTCTAATCTCTACTCTGCCTTGGGGCAGTATGGGATAGTGGATAAGTACAAGTAGGGATGGGGCTTAATAAGCGAAGGAAGAAACCACAAGAAAGAGATAGCTTTTTAAAATTTGTGGTCCAAAAAACCCCATAAAATTTGTCACGTTCATCATTTTTAAGTGCGCAATGTAGTAATGGTAAGTATATTCACACTGTTGTCAAACAGGTCTCCAGAATGTTTTCATCTTGCAAAACTGAAACTCTGTACCCTTTAAAAAACAAATCCCTTTTCCTTCTTCCTGTGTAGTTTTTATTAAATAAAAATTCATAGCTTCTATATATCAAAACTTCACAAATTCATAACTTCTATGTATCAAAGCCACAAATTGGAAGATAGAGCCTATTTGCAGGAAATTATATATGGAGGGCTTTTATATGTGCAAAAGGAAAATACTCAAATAGCAAAGTTGACCCCCGAAATTGAAAAGACAATTCATGAAAGAAGAAGGTCCAAAGAACTTATAAAACACTATTTAACTTCATTAGCAATCAAAGAAATTGTGCTTCTAAGATGGCAAAAACATTGTCAGTGATAGTGTTCAGTGCCAAGAGTAATTACTCTCTCAGTAAGATGGGCGGGCTTACAACTACTGGTGGAAACATAGCACAATACAACTGATAGAGTTTTGTTTGGCAGTGTATTTCAAAACCTTAAAATATTTGTAACTTCTGACTCACCAATACCACTTTTAACATCCTATCCTTAGACAAGAGTGATGTGCCCAAAGATTTATTTACAAGAATGTGTATCACATCATTGTTTATAAAAGCAAAAATATATAAGCAATCTAAATATCTAGCAGTAGAACACTGGCTACATAAAGTATAACACATTCATCTAACAGATTAGTATGTAGGCTTTCCTAAAGAATTCGTAATGAGAGGCCCGTGTTAAGTAAAAAACAAACAGACAAACAAACAAAAAACCAGAAAAGAAAACTGTATGTGTAAGCATGCACTAACGGAAAATAGAAGAGTAGAAGGAATACACAAAAATGGTGGTTATCTTTGGGTAGCGGGAGATTTGAAATTTTTGAAATCAAAATATTAAAAATTTTTAGTGATGGGGATGTAATTTTTAGTAATTAGTAGGTATTGCTCTTATAATCAGAAGGAAAGCCTTAAAAATGAAACTTTTATAAAATACTATACATACTATACACAAATATATTGTTTTTAAATTACAAATTTATTTTCACTAATGTCTCACTGAAATTGAATGCTTTTCTTTTAATTTATTTATTACTTTATATTTTTTATTTTTGGCTGCATTGGGTCTTCGTTGCTGCTCGGGGGCTTTCTCTAGTTGCGGTGAGCAGGGGCTACTCTTCGTTGCGGTGCGCGGGCTTGTCATTGCAGTGGCTTCTCTTGTTGTGGAGCACGGGCTCTAGGCATGCGGGCTTCAGTAGTTGTGGCGTACAGGCTCAGTAGTTGTGGCTTGCGGGCTCCAGAGCACAGGCTCAGTAGTTATGGCACATGGGCTTAGTTGCTCCGCAGCATGTGGGATCTTCCCGGACCAGGGCTCGAACCCGTGTACCCTGCATTGGCAGGCGGATTCTTAACCACTGCACCACCAGGGAAGTCCCACAAATATTTTTAAAAATTTAAATTTCCATACACCATTCAAGTAATTAATTTGACTTAGTATTTGTGAAATTGGACCTCGGGCTCAACCTACAAATTTGTAAAAATTGGAATTTTCTCCTGTTCTGACAGTTGTAGTGCTTTCTTGGTGGCTGTTTTAAAATGAGACTGAAGCACGGGAATAACTGTGCTGGAACTTTATCATGGAAGTTCGGTTTTTTTTTCAGATATTTAGACTGTCATATGCAGTTAAATTGAATTTTAACCTGGCTTCGATACTTGGGGTTTTAGGTAGCTGAAATAGGTACTTTAGGAACACGATGGATTAAATACAGTACTTCTGTAAGGTGTTCTGTGAACCTAACTACCATTTATGATTTTGACACCCTGGGGAAAAATGAATTCCAAATTCCAAACAACATTCGTATGTTTGGAAAAGTTCCTCTTGAATAAATGAATTCTGAAAAATTGCATTTTTAATTTTTATTTTGCAAGTAGTTTAAAACTTCATATTCTCATGAAGAATTTTATAGAAATCTGTTCCCTGGGATGAAAAACGCTAAGAGAACAGAATCTTATTTACAGTACTAATTCTTTTGCCATTGTACCTGAGGGAAAGGAGTACCTGTGGAGTCGACCCACCTGAGTGACTAGCAGCCGTTTAATATACAGGGAACTGAATGAAGGCTGCAAAGGCCGATTTGGGTCATGGCCACTGAGCAAGGAACCACACATACTGCAGAAGCTCTGAGAAACTTGGACCCTGGATGGGGATGAACTGTTGCTCTCCGGGGTGGGGGACCCTCCCCAGACAGTGACCGCTCCCCGCAGCTGGACTGACCTGCCCAGTTCCAGCTTGGCCAAGGACCCTGGCAGAAAATCTGATCTGACCTGACATGTGGTTGGTACCAAACCTCAGCTAAGAACGCGCTCTGCTGGGAAGGGCATTCAACACTCGTACCATTAGACGCGATCATTCGAAGACCTTCTGTGCCAGGAGCAATAAAGTGAGTGATAAACCCCTCACGTACCAATCTCAGTTCAAGATATGGGAGCGAAGAGCAGTTTAAGAACCTAATGGATTTGCTTGAAATATTCAGATGCGTTGGAAACTGACTAGATCCCAGTCCCTGGCAAGCCCAGAGTGGCTGGTGAATTGCACGGCACCCATTCTCATTCCAGACGCCAAGGAACTAACACAGCCCCAGAGGCCTTTCAGGGAAGCAATTAACTAAAAAATACATTTCCAGCTCTGATAAAAAAATACATTTCCAGCTCTGCTCCTTAGATGGAAAATCTCCTCTCAAATGAAACTTGTTTCCTTCTCCTGTAGCTTCAGAAAAAGAGATTACCTAAATATATTTTCTCTGTTCCACATTACTTCACTTGGAATGATGCCAAATATTTTTAGGTCTTTATTTTTAATCACAAACTCACATACTTTTTGATGCTATTAGAGGGACACATATAAATATATGACCTTCTTTTTCTCTTCAACATCCCTCCTTCTATTCCTTCCTTCGAATAATCATAAAAAATTCAGAACCTGGCCTGAGTTTAATCCCAAGGTCTCTGTTTCTGATTTCCTTCCATTCCTGCCTCCCCAAATGTAAGAGTTAAAACAAAAATTATACGGCTGCAGGCTGTGAGATGACTAATCCATTATACATATAAATATATATATATTTATATAGGACTTGAGGGAGTTCATCTTTCAAATTGTTTGTGAAGAACAAAATTAAGTTTCATAATGAGTGTCAACTTTTCCATTTAAGAACTCCCAGGCAACTCTTCTTTCACGATCACATCACATTTACCTACTGTGTTGGGACACTGGTTCCCTTCTGGCTTTATCCTGTCCTGCTGTGTGTGATAACATTTGTTTATTTTTTATCATCACAACCTTCTTCTCTCTTCAATCTCACCTTAAAGCTATCTCCTCTTATCTGGAAAGGACCTTCTTCTGTGAAGAGGATTGGGCTTTAAATAAATCCAATGGATATCTACAATCACAAAAGTTTGGTAATTTCTGCATTCTGCTGCAGTTCATAGAAACGTGTTCCAAAAGAGACCGTCATTATTTTAAAGTCTCTCAGCTTCCAGTATCTTTCTTCTCAAATGAAGGTAAAACTGAAATAAATAGAACACATCCACAGTGCTCTTGATACCTAATAATTCTAGATGATGATTTTTTGTCTTGCGAGAAGTTTAATTCCATCAAGGTATAGTGATGCATGCCCTGTTCTGTGTTAAAACAATTTGCTTTTGAGGATTATAGTGCCCAGTAGGGAGTGAATATTTACAGTTATGCCCCTTTCAAAGTCACCCCACTCGAAGCTGCTAATTTTAGCTGTGAGCCTCATAAGAGGTTTCCTTCTCAGCTGTCAGTTTCCAGGTATGGTACATTAAAATACTTTTGCAAAGAGGCAAAGTGGTTACAGAATGATACTCCTGGATTTTCTACATTCTTTCTTGGAATTGGACAAAATTCAAGAAAAGAAATGTCCACGTCACAAAACCTATTTTGCCAACACGAACGATTTGAAAAAAAAGGGCTCATGGTATTTCGCCTCTAGATTTCTTCGGGTCTTCCTCCCTTTTCTTCTTACTACTGCAGTCAAAATAGGAAGAGAGAGAATGTGTGTGAGTGTGTGTGTGTGTGTGTGTGTGTGTCTGAGAGAGACAGAAAGGGGTGTGCGGCGGGGAGAGGGGGGACCACTGTGGGAGGAGGGTGGATCCTGCCTTGCTGTGGCTTCTGCTTTTCTCAGAGAACTTCAGAGAACGACTGTAATACCAGCTCTAAATGAACAACATATGACTCTTATTTTCACCACCCCTCCCCCTCAACCCCCCTTCAGGTTTCCTATGTGTATTTCAAGTGCCTGATAGCCTTGGTAGGAGAACTCTGGTGTTACTCTGACCTTAATCACTTTATAAGGCAGGGAGATTTTGCTTTTCTAAGAGGCAAGCACCTGAACCTGAGGTCCTGCATGGGCCCTGCCAAACGCTGCTGTCTCCAGGCCACCAGTGACAGCTCATCTGGGTTTCATCCGCTCTCCCGGGGCTGCATTTCATCAGGCCGCTTTGCCAGGGCCTCCCCAGCAGCGTCAACAAGTGTCGCACCTACTGCAGAAACAGCCCTCGAGTTTCATCACAGTGATGCTAAAAAATATTCTCCAGCTTCAGCAATGATCTAGTTCATTCAAGGGCAGGGAAAAAAAATGCTCTGCTTCCAGAACTTCCCTGGGCACGGAATTTTCCCTCTTAGGAAGATAGGAGCTTTTCTGGAAACAGACCCAACTGCGCTTTGAAAAACTTTGGAAAAGACCCTGAACCCTGTAACTCCTCTGAATCCCCAATCCCAGGAACAGGGACACCCAATCAATGCCTCACACACAGCCTGGGGAGCCCACAGCTGAGCCGGCCCTCTTATCGCGTCTCTTGGACAAAAAGTATTGAAAAGTAAGTATCTAGATTTTGGGTTTTACCTGAGGAATGGCTGTGCTTTAAATATGTAGCTGTTTACATTTTCTACAACAGGGAACAAAGCAGACTGTTTCCTTATGAACTAGAACGAGATGAAACAAGTGGGGTCTATAGAGCATATTTGGGTACATTACAGGGTTTTAAAGTGGCCAAATTCTCCTTTTTCAGTTTTGGTCCATTCTGGCCCTTTTGAGAAACCATTATTATTTTTTAATGTCTGTTTATTTATTTTGGCTTGACAATAATTTTAAAAGATTCTTTCAACTCATGGCTATCTCAATAATTAGAAAAAATAAACATCTAGGATGGCTCAAAGGAGTGATCTGTGAAGGCTTTGCAAAGTAAAGTGTCCTGAAAATCTGAGGTAATGACCCAGGTAACTCAGGCCCTAGGTCCTTCTGCCTGAAATATTTTAGTGTTTTAGTCAAAAGTTATTCCTTTTATTTGGAGTATCTGGATGATTGAAAATCTCCACATTTTGAGGGGACACAGCAGCATCGTGTCTGACAGTGGGAATGAAAGCTGCTGAAAAGCTATCAGGCATTTCAAAATGGCTGATGCAAACATCCACTGAGTCATGAAAATATTCTCTTTCCTTTTTTTAAAATTGGGTTAAGAACACTTAACCTGAGATCTACTGTCTTAATAAATTTTTAAGTGTACAATACAGTATTGTTAACTATAGGCAAGGCATTATACTTGAGTTGTTAAATAGCTTTTTGAAAAAATTTAAGGCAAAAAAGTCAACCCCAGAAAGATTGATAAAACAGCAGCACTGTCATGTTACATTTTGACGACCACATCCAAACTTTGAAACTACCGATTCAGGGTGTCAGTTGCAGACATCTGGCAATCATTTAAAAATAGATAAAAGCAAGAGCAGCATTTAGAGCTGCTTCTGCGCTAATTATTTCCCTTCCACAACCTTTTCCTTAGGTAGCCTTCATTTTTGAAGATTAGTTAACCAGGAACGGTCAGAAACGTTTTATAACAGCATACTAGGTAAGGGTAGATCGAACGAGCTTCTTTGCTGTAATCCTTCTTAACTGAAACCCCGGATGCCTTCTGAATGGACAAATTGACAAATCCTGTAGTAAAAGGCAACTGATGGTCAAGAAACGTGATCAGATTTTGGAAATCCAGATTTAAAACCAATTTAAATGTAATTTAGCTCCCAAACTCCACTGTCCTTTCAAGTTTTTGCAAAACATGTAATCACAATTTGGGGAAGATTTTTAGGTAGGGTGAAATTCCTATTTTCATCACTTGCAAAGACACCCCCCCCAATTTAATTCATTTTTCTCCACCCCCCCCCCCCCCCCCCCCCCACTTACCTGTGGATATCAGCCTATGGAAAGAGGACGTAGTCGAGTATCTTAATCCAGATGGAGGTTGGGGAAACAGGGTACAGCTGAGGAATAAAGCCCAGGCTCCGGAGGCAGATTTGGAACCAGATCCTGACCTTAGCACAGTTTCCAGCCTGTCTGAACTCCAGTGTTCTCACCTGTAAAATGAAGATAACATCCACTTTGACAGGACTGATGGGGGAATTACATGAATAAATATACCTAAAGTGTCTTGTCACATCGTAGTTTCTCCACAAAGACTAGTTCCCTCCCCTTAGTTAATTAAAAAGCTTTTCTCTCTTTTTTTTTGCTACAATTTCAGAATGCTTTCATAACATAAATCATTAAAGTAATAAAAACTACATATTTTGACACCAGTGCAACGATTAAACAAAAATAACATAGAAAATTAGATATTTTGAAGAAAATTCTATACTTGAAAACATTTGAGAGCAAAAGAAAAACCATTATATTTTAGAATGCATCTGCAATAAATAAGAAAAATTATTTTTGCCTGAAAATGATTGATGGTGTACTTGTTATCTAAAAAGCAGAGATTTATCAACATCACCTGATAATGCTTTTTAATACATATCAGCATGATATTTAAATAGGAGTTTTCACATATCCATAGGAATGGAAGGTAAAGGTAGATCCATGCATACAAGATGATGTCTGTGATTATTGTGAAAACTTAGGCACAAACCTGCCTTTCCTCAAAGATTATAGTTGAGCCTTGCATTGATTCCCTTTTTCGCTCAGACATGAGCATTGTAGAGTGGGGGGATTGGGAGTAGGGGGGCGGTGAGGATGCTCGGGAAATGGGCTCGCCATTGGGGGAGCTGAGTGGAGATGGCAGCTGGGTGGGCCATCTCAGGAGCCATGGCTGGAATTTCAAGGTCAGTGATAAAGGTTCATAATGAACAGGGTGCTCCCTTGTTCTGGGGTGAGGGCGAGACAGGCACGGAGGGATGGAGAAGACAAGAATCACAAGCAGGGCTCGTGGGACGGCTCTGAAGAGCTATACCAACGTCTTTATTATTGCCCTTGTGGTCTTGACTGAGATAGCACGCAGCTTTTGTCCAGGCACCTCGGGGTATCTGGATAAATTCTTTGCTTGAGTTACTGAGAGGTTTGCAAGGAACCCTGTTAATCTGTGCTTAATTCTGCAAAAAGGAAATTTGGAAATTCAGAACTGTAAACAAACTTGGGAGAAAGTAATCATGTCGTCTTAGGAGGCAAAAATGAAAGAATAAGTGCCCAACCTATATGAGAGAAAAGAGCATTTAAAAATGTTGGAGGCTTCATTGAGGTTTCTGCCAATGCACACCCACCTGGCCCATCCTACTGTCCACCAGCAGACTTTGGACATCAGGTTGAAGAGATGTCAGTCTGGAGAGTTCACTTCTGAATACACAGTACCCTACCCCTCCCAGGGCCATTTCCTCCATGGCTGCTACCAGCACGTCTGGGGCCACCCAGCTCACCTTGATCGTCACTTGGCCTTCACTCCTGCTCTTAGAAAACAAGGTTCATTCGCTCCTCAGTCAGTAGTTCAAGACCTTTCTCTAGTCCAGTGGTTTTCAAACTTCAAAGTGCAACAGAATCTAGAGAGCTTGTTAAAACACATTTTCCTGGGTCCCACACCCAGAGCTTCTCATTCTGAAGGTCCCAAGAATTTGCATTTCTGACTAGTTCCCAGGTGATGCTGATGGTGTGGTCCAGGGACCAGCACTCTGAGAACCACTTTAGCCATTTCTTTGGCCTCTAATTCCTGAAGAAAACCTATTTGCGCTTGTTTTTTTCAACACTAAAGTTGCCTACTTCTCAGAGATGCAGAAGGCCCAGCCACAACATGCAACAGCTGTGGAAAACACAAAAGCTAAACCTATCAGGTGTCTTGCAGGCAAACAGCCTGCAGCGGAGCATGGCTGCTGGGAATACTGAGTGTGGCGAGGACACACTGAGGTGAGCAGTCCATTATTTGGGAGGGGCCTGTTTTTTCCAGCTGAGGCTATGGGAGAGGTGTCAAGGACAAGTCAGCACTTGAGCTGGGGTTTGAAACTGGTGGGATATGAACATATAGAGATGGAAGGTGGTCTTTTTCCGTAAAGGAAACAAGACAAAATACGGAGGTCAGAAAGAGACAGGATGCCAGTGGAAATCAGAAATTTGTTCGGTTGGTTTGGTTAGTTGTTCCTAGAACTTTCTTGCAGAAGCATTCTTTGATTAAGCCGTCTATACTTAAATCGTTTACTTCTGTCTGTAACTTGGTGAAGGCATGTCCGACATAGCAATCTGGAACGGAGGGCTAGTGGTAGGAATTTCAGGCACCATGGGGAAGTATGTATGCATCGGTATGTTTTTTAGAAGTAACAATCAAAAAGTCAACTCTCCTTTGCTCCCGCAACTAAAAAATCCAAGAAGTTTGGTCAGGATCCCAGGTCCGGTCTCTGCATTTCTGGAGACTCTGCTCTTTTGTGTGCTTTGGTTTCAACCTCAGGCTGGCTTTTTCAGTCTCAGCTGTTATCAACCTCCCTTGGAGTCAGCACGCTTTCTTCTTCCTGGTTAGAGGAGTTAAGCTTTGCATTGATTGCATAAACGCGGAATTTACTTTCTGCAGAAAGCCATGTGCTGATTGGCGTAGACCTTGGTTAGTGAACCCATCCCCGAGCAAGAGTGCTTGATCAGTTTAGACCAATCAGAACCCACAGAGCAGGAAGGACGAAGTCCAGCCCACCCGTCACCAGGTTTGAGTGATGCGAGAGGCGTGGAATGGAGTTAGGAAGACAAGCGAAATGGCTGCTTCGGGAGGTTTTGCATATTTTGGAGAAAGGCCTCTAAAGTCACACGAACTCCCCCCTTAGTCATAAGTTTAGCAATGGGCAGCATTCTTACTTCAAAGATTTAGGATGGGCCTACCTTATACTTCAGCGCAGACAAGTTATTCTCCCACAGAATAGTGCTGCCTCTGAGTGGAATGAAGCTACTTATCTCTTACCTTACTAAAAAAAAAAAAAAAATTAGATAAAGAACGATTAAAAAAATTCTTCTGAAAACAAAACAATTGGAGGCAAAAATAAAAGGTTTTCGCCTAAGACCCTCTGGCTGGCTGGGTTGAGGGATGGTGGTAGGAGGAGGTTGAGGTAATATTGACACTCTCCACAGCACCGTGTCCCCGGTCCCCCCGGCTTTCTTTGTGCTGGCTCACTGAGAGGTGGCTTGTTCAGCATAATTAACCCAGGCTCAGTTCATTACACCAGGGGCAGTGTTGTTCCTGCCCATTACAGGGCAAGGAGTGGGACAGAGGAGAAACTAGCATTTCCCAGGTCCTTCCCTACACTGGCTGATGCCTGAAACTTCATAGGATGCCACCTCTAGGTCCATTAATAATAAACAGTCTCGGGCTTCCCTGGTGGCGCAGTGGTTGAGAGTCCGCCTGCCGATGCAGGGGACATGGGTTCGTGCTCCGGTCCGGGAGGATCCCACGTGCCGCGGAGCGGCTGGGCCCGTGGGCCATGGCCGCTGAGCCTGCGCCTCCAGAGCCTATGCTCCGCAACGGGAGACGCCACAACAGTGAGAGGCCCGTGTACCCAAAAAAAATAAATAAATAAATAAAAATAAAAAAAA